AAATCAACGTGATATAATGAGGAATCTTTACGTAAGAAATAGCGAAAACCTTTTGATAAAGACCGCCATGATGAGGACACCTGATCAAATAAATCCGTGTATAACACCCAAAGCAACTATAAATTATGTAAAAAAAAATTATTATAGAAAAATGAGGAAATTAGAATGAAGACTATTCGTTGTAAACAGAATTAAATCTTCGGAAAAAAAACTGTAAAAATAAAAAATAAAAACGAAATGCAAGAAGGAAAGAATTAACAATCTAGAGGTGGATTGTGAAAGGACAACGCTAAGATGGAATCAAATTCGAATAGATGGAAGAAAAAAAATCAAACCAAACGAAGAGTCAGAGAAGAAAGAAGCCCAGAGAAATGCGGAAAATATTCTTGGAAAATTGGTTTTATTTGTGATCATTGTCATCTGAAGAGGGACAATTTATTTACCGAAGGAAGATATCTGCTTTTCTTACAATTGACTTTACATGAGAAGATTACGACTTCTCCGTTTTCATCCTGGTTATTAAGTTTCTGATTTTTTTTTTTTTTAAATGTTTCTGATCCCATTTCCTTTGAATAGGATTGGATATCAAACTTTCTAGGTCTTCAACGCGAGCAATGTTCAGAAAGCAAGAAGAACAAGAAATAATCTACACTCAAATTGAAGGAATAAATTAATTAATCATCAGCTTTGAAAAGACGAGGCACTGAAGAAGACAGAGTTGTCGCCAAGGTAAGCCGAAAAACAGTGTCGCTTTTTAGACCCGCTCGAAAACAAGAGGAGGAAAGAAACACGAAATAGAATAGAGGTTCTTCCCCCACCCTACCCCCATTAAAAAAAAAAAGATGCTGGAGCACTGAAGAAATATGGTGTTATTAAGTGGCTGACAGTATGACAATTCTTTTTTGAAAATTGCAAACTGGGGCTACTGTTATCCCCATCTTCCATTGCCATATTCGCAACGTTTCGACCGTTGGACTTCTTCAGGTGATTGAAATTTAGAACCGAAACCTTTACTTCGTCCACCGGGGTAGATTGTTCTAGTTCCACGTGCCATGCTTTCAATATCTGTCTACATCTCTTAGATGAGGTATTATGATTATTTACATTATTTACATTATTCGGGCTGTTATCGTCATCTTCATGGCCATATTTACAACGTTTCGGTCGTTGTACGCTCCGACCCTCTTCAGGTGATTGGCATTTAGAACCTAATCCTTTACTTCGTCCACCGGGATAGATTGTTTTAGTTCCACGTGCCATACCTTGAATATCTGTCTATATCTCTGAGATGAGGTGTTATGATTATTTGCATTACTTACATTATTCGGACATTCCAATTAGCTGAAGAAGGCCGGAGCGTACAACGGCCGAAACGTAGTAATAAATATGGCGACAAAGATGAGGACTATAGTCCGTATAATGTAAATAGTGTACATAGTACCTCATCTCAGAAATATAGACAGATACTAAAGAAATTAGTATTGAACTGTCATATAATATTGATCCTCTTATATGTTGGACAATCTCTTCGCAGATGAAGACGAGACTTGAAGTAGCAGAAATGTGGTTCTACAGAAGGATGATGAGAATTCCATGGACTGAACATATGAGCAATGACGAAGTTTTAGAGAAAGTGCAAACGAAAAGGAGACTTATACTTAACATTCAGAAAGAGGCAGCTGACATTTCCAGGGCCCGTCACCAGGAAAGAGGGCTTAGAAAATATGACACTCACAGGGCATACCGAAGGTAAAAAGAACAGAGGAAAATAGCGCATAATCTTCCTAACGAGCTTTTGCAAATGGTTGACAGAACGTGGATTAGGAGAGTTGGCAAAAAGAGAAACTTCATTAGCTCTTAAGGAAGTTTCTCTTTTTGCTATTAAGGACTGGAAGTTGTGGAGAATCACGATCGCCCAAGTCCCGAAAGGACACAGGAAAAGAAGAATTTCGTATATGGCATCTTGGTTTGCCCCACTTGACAATAACTATGCATCCTGTCTTTTTTACATTTGTCATCATCATAAACCCCTATGAAGACGTCATGTCACGAGACCCGTAACTCCTTTCGGTAAAAGAGGCTCCACATGTAGGGCAGTCACAGCAGAAGCGGTGTTTCTAGGGCAAGATAACCTGACGCAGTCCATCCCATTTCAGTCCGGTTTTGAATTTAAAGCCTTTTCTCCCTTCTCCTAGACCGGTTGTTACCTTAAGGCAAGAAAGTTCAGTAGGTCTTGCTTTTTAACCCGTACCTAGGGGTACATAGATTCGTGCCTTTTCTGAAGATGTTAGCACGAAGTGAATGAAACGGAATCAACTGGAAATTGAACTCGGCTCGCCGATTTTATTCTCCGGCCTGATAACTGCTACACTATCCACGAAGACAACGGATTGACGAAAAACAAACAAATAATATGATATGAAGAAGACGTGCGTAATACTATATATCTATACGACTATAACGGCTTAGTGGCGAAGAGATGTTTTGGTTACTTCGTTTTAAACAAAACCCGATACTAAGTAATCTCTATACATTAATGTTGTAATGTCTTTGTTCAAAATAGCCAAGAATTAGGAAGGCCGTAGAAATTATCGAAGGAACAGAGGATTAGGTAGAGGAAATAAAGAAGGGATATATTAAATACTCATACACTGAACGGAAAAACTTGAGCAAATTAAATACTACTCAAATCCTACTCTAATATGGATACTCACCATATTTATAAGTAAGAGCAGTCCATTGTGACAGAATCCTACTCTACAATGTTTATTATTATACAGCTTCCAGAAGATCCTGTTCTGGAAGATTTGATGCAAGACACTGTTGACTTAGAAGAATAAAAAGTACCGGTAATTCAGATTTGTCATTTTGTCTTTGTTCATAATAGCTGAGAATTAGAAAGGACGTAGTTAAAGAGAATATCGAAGGAACAGTAGACTTCGTTAGAGAAAACGAAAAGAAGAGGTTTGTTAAATACTCATACATAGACCGGGAAAACTTGAGTTAATTAAATACTACTTAAGTCCTACTCTAATGTTGCTACTTGCCATATTTATAAGTAAGAGCAGTCCATTGTTACAGTAGTAAAGAAGAACAGGAAGTTCACGGAGCCCTACTCTACAACAATGTTGAACTCTTGTATATCAGTTATGTACGAAATATGTTTGGCAATCTGTGTCATTTTTATAATTTAAAAAATAAACAACATATTATCAAAGATGGCAATTACTTTTCAAAATATCAACCAATACACGGAACAATAATGATAATCTGCGACGCGATTTTCGCTTCCGCGTCTCTTATACACTAGTTAGTCGTTGCTTTGAAATTTTGAAATCAGACTATCAATGCTGCCTAAATATACAATATATATATATATATATATATATATATATATATAATTATTAAGTTGATGGTGATATTTTATTTCATTAGAACCAATATTTCGGTTCTAACTCATCAGACAGAACAACATTATACAAATAAATGGACAAAAAATTTCCAAGGCACAAAAGCAATGATGTAAGCATAAATTATGTTCAAAAAGTAGATTCAAAATTGAAGGAAGGGAGAGAGGAAAAAAGAATATGTATTCATAATGGGGAAAGGTAATGTAGAGAGGGAGAGAGAAAGAGGATATGTATTCAAAGCTGCGAAGAGAAAGAAAGAGAAAGAGAGAGAGATATAAGTCTGTTTAAAGAGATATATTGAAGTCGTAGTGATGAGAGCAGACATATTGACTTAATTATCCCGGATGTGCACAGTGAAGTAGAAAGGGATCGTCAAATGGGGGGTAGACAAAAAGAGCGAAAGAAAAAGAAGGAAAAGAAAGGGAAGGAAAAGGAACCCAGATATACGGCTTGAAACCAGCAATCTTCTGTGTACAATTGAATAGATTTTCTGTCTAATGCATGTAGACATTCATGATTTTGCCACTTTTGTATTTTAAAATGATAATAATAATAATAATAATAATAGAGAAAAAAGCTGATTTTTTTTTTGAAAATATATATTATTTTACCATCAAAAATTATATAACATAAACATTCAGTCATTCAGTGTCCCTACTAGGGAATAAACGTACCCGCTTTCTGTTGTTTTTCGTTGGCGCAAAATCATTCTCGTCACTGGAAATATTTAATAGGGATATATCTTCATGTGTATCTTACCTATTATAAAACGCAGATTGTGTGTGTGTGTGTGTGTGTGTGTATGTCTGTACGTTTATATATTGGATCGGATTTCCTACATTTTTCAACTGATTTCAACAAAACTTCACAGAACTACGTAAAATTACCTTGCGGTGGTTCTGACAGTGCCAAAAATTGGAAAAACACAATTGTTTTTGCACGACATCAATTTGAAAACACGATTAAGAGGCATCGCCGTCGAGAATGAAAGGGGGACAACTCATATCGAGTTTTACTTATTATAAAACCCAGGTTGTTTGTGTGTGTGTGTGGTGTTCGTTTATATATGGGATCGGATTTCCTACATTTTTCAACCGGTTTCAACAAAACTTTTTTTTTTTTTTTTTTGGCAGGTAGTGTTTCTTATTGTTTTGCACACTTTTTTTTTTTTTCTTTATTTTTACATTCAGAATGCTTTTAAAAATTCCATTTACAAGACAATTGTTTATAATAAAATTCTATTCAATCGATAGACACATAACGATTGAAAAACAATGTTTTTGTTTGAGTTTGGGTTTGACCAATTCGTAAAAAAAACCCCAAAAAACAAACTAATTAAGACATGTGTGTCCGTCAACCTTAAACAATAATCGTTGTCAATTTTATTTTTCAGTCTTTATGATGGTCGATACTTGATCTATCTCTTACTGTTACATCCCGGGCAACGCCGGGCTCTACTGCTAGTCTTGAATAAAATTAACATTTTGTTTTTCTTTTGTTTCACTGGTTTTGAATACGAATTCGTTTATCAGATGCTGTGATTTTTCTTTTATTAGTTCTTTATCTGATTCTTCATAAGGTGCCATAATCATGTTCAAATCACAATGGGATTACACCGCTCGTTCGATATTGTTATCATTTGTAAGAAAATGATTTCTATGTTTATTGGTTATTTGGAGGTCTTCTAGATGCTAACGACTGCCGCCGCGCGCCGTCTGATGGAGCGGTTACACGCAGCCTGAGGTATGTACAGTGCATAGGTCCTACCCGAGAGTGGGAGATCACTATACAGAAAAAAACGGTGGTCAGTGCTCAAAAGGTTAAGTATGATTTTTTGTAACGCTTCTATTTTTTTTTGCACACATGTTCGATCCATGTCACTTCTTTGCGTTAGTGAAGGTGTAAATATGCAGAAAATTGATTGAATCGTTTTCTACTGTTTATCAACCCTTTGAAGGTTATTTAAAGGCAGAAAATATGTTTAGACAGTAAGTTTTTTTTTTGGGAGGTGGGGGTGATAATAACGGTCTAGTGATACAAGTTTTGCTAATTAAAGCAAAAGAAGTGGCTTCATACAATTCCAAAGATTATTTGCGCATAAGTGAATATAACAAACCCAACTGGAATTGGAACTCGGCTCTCCGATTAACAATTCCGAGACATTTTCCATTGCACTACCCGCACAAGCAATCTTTCAGCGGTTGGTGTATTTGAAAAATGTTACCAACATCGTCACAAAGCGATTTTATTGAGAAAACATTGACTTGAATAATAAAATCTGATATCGTGTAATAACAGCAGTCGTCATAATAACCCGTTGGGAAGAATCTGATAATAAATAAATAAATAAAGAAAGAAAGAAAGAAAGAAAGAAAAAAACAGGTAATAACGCCTCTTGAAGGGAACTAGCTGTGTAAGTTTTTGATGGCGCCAATAAACTTGTCACCTGTTTGGCTTCTAGTGTTGACATCGACAGATTAGAATTCATATAGTTTGCTTTTCGCAATACATATTGAATAAATGTATAAATTTAAATGGTATAATGTTTAGGAGTTATAAGTTATATAGAATTTTATAGTAGAAATTAACAAATCAAAACCATAAATTTTTAGAGTAAGGCACCAAACCTTACTTGAGAAATAACGTAGAGGGTTAAGCATTAAGAACATTAAATTATTTCTTCAGTTATCCACTAAAGCTGCTAATCCACCGGAAAAAGAGAAAGAAAGAAAAGAAGTTAGTCCCCAAGTGGACCATTTAAAAGTCAGTCCCCGCAGTGGATTGGTTGTTACAAACATCCAATCGGGTGCGCGGAAAACGTAGTCTATTTTCATCGAATTTATTAAAAAGGCCAGGGTCTCTGCTAGAGTTTGATTGTGAGGGGGAATCAGGGATTGATCTATTATGATTGGGTTGGCTTGGTGTTGGGTTTTATGTGGTTAAAAGATCCGAAACTGCCTAATGAGTCAATTTACATCATTGACGACTCCCTCTGGTCCCTATTTAAGAGCATACATATTTTTAAAAAAATGACTAAAATGTATTTGCGTAAGTGAATATAACGAACCTAACTGGAGTTGAAACACGGCCTTCGTATTAACACTATCAAGCCATTTTCGATTGCACCACTCGTACAAGCAATTTTTCAGCGGTTGGTGTATTTGAAAAATGTTACCAACATAGTCACTAAGCGATTTTATTGAGAAAACATTGACTTGAGTAATAAAATCTGATATCATGTAATAACAGCAGTCGTCACAATAACCCGTTGGGAAGAATCTGATAATAAATAAATAAATAAACGAACAGGTAATAATGCCTCTCGAAGGGAACTCGCTGTGTAAGTTTTTGATGGCGCCAATAAACTTGTCACCTGTTTGGCTTCTAGTGTTGGCATCGACAGATTAGAATTCATACAATTTGTTTCTCGCAGTAAATATTGGATAAACGTACCGATTTTTTTTGCACTAATTCTTATCTGCAACAGAGTTTGGTATATACTGTAATTAAACGGAAGCGCAACTGAGTGGTTAAAATTTCTCTTTTCGTTCATGAGACCCGGGTTCGAATCACACCATTCCTCGATTTATTTTCTCTGGCGAAGCGATCACCTTTGGAAAGTGCTGGATTGATCCAAGCCTTGTCAGTGAAATTTGGGCAGACAGAACTGTTCGGAAGACGTTTGCATCCACGAAATCACGCGTCAGCGAACCTCCAAACACGACATTATCAAAAAATAAGAGCACTATAGTAAATTTAATGTCAGACTACCTAAAATTCAACAATGCATTTCATTACATAGAATATTTTCCTAAGTTTTAAAGAATACAGGGTAGTTAAAAATTATATAATAATATGCTTGAGTTATATGCGTTAACTAATTATGGATATGTCCTCCGTAGAGAAAATTAGTTAAATTTCCAAAGCATCAGGCTGTCAATAGAGCTGTCAACAAGTCATAAAAATATCCCCTTCCATGTTAAAAATGCTTTTCTGTGATATTTTAAACTAAAAGTGAGTAATATTTGTTTAAAATCAGATTGATTACACATTAAATCAGCTAATCTTCCTCAAATAAATTTTCAGAAAAGTATATTTTATTTTGAATGATATTTTTAAAAAAGAAAATTACGTTCAGGTGAGATAATTTTACGTATGGCTAAAACGAGCAATGTTAGGCGATTCGAAAAAAATAAAGCCATTTAAATCAATTTAATGTGGTTTTGAAATACACGGTACAAAGTACTTTGTTTATTGGAAAGATTAAATTTAATCTATTAACTTGGAATTAAAACTAAAATAAAAGCTTCTAGAAATATTTTTTCATTTTAATAATTTATTTTAAACCTTCGGTAGCACTTTTCTTTAGGGTTACATACGTGTGTGTGTGTATATATATATATACACACACAAATTTATATATATATATGAATATGTTGCATGTATATATAATATATATATATATATATTATATATATATATAGTATATGTGGATAAATATATATACATAAACATACACACACACACACACACACACATATATATGTATATATATTCAGTTGTATGGATATGAGGAGGAAAAAGACCCTGGATTTCACGCTTTTGCGATCATCATTAGACAAGAGTTTGATGACCACAAAAGCGTGAAATTATTACAAACTCATATCCATATAACTGAATAAATATATATATATATATATATATATATATATATATATATATATATATATATATATATATATTGGGGCTGCAAAATGTAGGTATACTAAAATTGTTATGTTTCAATAATCAATACATTACTTTTTGTGTTTCATTAATATACCTACTTTTGCAACCCTTGTATACAGATAAATAGATATATTTTCGTTAAACACATTTAAAATGTCTATTAATATCGAAACACACTGCTATCTATCTATCTATCTATCTATCTATCTATCTATCTAACCCAGTCTGTTCATATCTATCTATCTATCTATCTATCTATCTATCTATCTATCTATCTATCTATCTATCTATGTGTGTGTATCTGTGTATCTATCTATTTGTGTGTGTGTGTATATATCTATCTATATTTGTTTGTCTGTATATATATATATATATATATATATATATATATATATATATATATATATAATTATGTATGTATATACCAGGATATGTTGAAAAAAATTAATCTCTCCGTAGCTTCCATCGATCGATCAACTCTTTGAATCCATCAATCAAATATGCACTCTTGAAACCGCGGTTCCATTTCCAGGAAAATTCTGCCACTATCTGTTAGCACTGGTAGCATCCGATTCAACTCAAATAGCATCTATTATCGCTCCGTCTGATTCGCCATTCATCACTCAAACATCTAAGCCTCCTTCGTCTCAACCTCTTCACCTCTACCCACCTACCCATTCTTTAAAAACACCCCTGCCCCGTCAATTATTCTCTGTGATCGCTGCTTTTAATGTCTTCCGCCCGGTTCGATCTCTCGCTAGCTTATTGCCGGATTCACTGTTCAGAACGACGCCCCTTTGAATTTCTCGACAAGTGTTCACACTGTGACTTATCGTTAGTTGCTTTGTGGCCATCTTTCTTTGTTCTAGCTGCTTCGATTCACCCCGCTGCCAAATAAATAAATAAATTCATAAAAAAGAAAATTTAAAATAGTTAAATAAATAAAAATATATAGATAAATAAAAGCACGAAAAATAATTGTAAATTCCACAAAAGGCGATGTTGCAATAAAGTCTATTGTTTCCATTTTCTACTTCTATGTTCCTTCAGTTCTGGGTATGACGATAAACTACATCCGGCAGCAAGGCCTCTGATCTAGAGTTTGGAGATTTTAAGAAGCGTGGAACAACCTTTTAGTTACTGTCGTTCGCAGGTCCATCCTGACCCGGTGTGGTAGCACCTGTTAGGGTCCCATTTCTGGGCAAATAGTGAACTCCCAAACAAAAACACTATAAAAATAAAAAATACATTTTTATACTAAAAATACCAGCAGTAGATTTTAATATTAAAAAATACCTGTTTATAGCAAAATGACCAACAATATATTTTATAGAAAATCACCAACAACACATTTTTATAGCAAAATGACCAACAATATATTTTTATAGCAAAATGACCAACAATACATTTTATAGCAAAATGACCAACAATATATTTTATAGCAAATTGACCAACAATATATTTTTATAGCAAAATGACCAACAATACATTTTATAGCAAAAAGACCAACAATACATTTTATAGCAAATTGACCAACAATATATTTTATAGTAAATGACCAACAATACATTTTATAGCAAATTGACCAACAATATATTTTTATAGCAAAATGACCAACAATATATTTTATAGTAAATGACCAACAGTACATTTTATAGTAAAATGACCAACAATATATTTTTATAGCAAAATAACCAACAATATGTTTTATAGGAAAATGACTAACAATACATTTTATAGTAAAATGACCAACATGACATTTTATAGTAAAATGACCAACAATACATTTTTATAGCAAAATGACCAACAATACATTTTTATAGCAAAATGACAAAAACTATATTTTATCTGTAGTTGAAGTCACACAATTTAACCAATCAACCAATCAACATGAAAGGAAGCTTTACTGACATTATTCAATACAATATCCTACAATTTTCTGAAAGAAATCAAACTGTATTTCAAAATATAACTTCTATGAAACTACAACGTATCTCCGCCTCTACTAATAATGTCTACACAAACATGTATATGCACAAAAGCTGAGTATCATCTACCATGTATTCAACTGTGAAAGCAGAATAACATACATCCTATTTGTATTACTTCAAAGCTCCCAAGAAAATTACATTTTGGCATTAAATGACCCATAAGGATCGTCCTGGGCAAGACGTTAAACTACATCCGCGTCCTGGGTAAGACGATAAACTACATCCAGCAGCAAGGCCTCTGATCAAGAGGTTTTGAGGAGCGTGGAACCACCTCTTGATTGCAGGTGTTCCAGGTTCAGCCTGACTGAGGGTGGTAGCACCTGTTAGGGTCCGAGCTATGGGCAAATAGTTAACTGTTACCAGCAATACATTTTTGAAGTAAAAATATTACCAGAAACAGATTTTTGACAAAACAAAAAATTACCAGAAATAAAAAAATGTTGTGGGCATTAAATAACCCATTGAAGTTGATATGCCGTAAAATAAAATAAACCAAACCAATCTAAACCAAAGAATACATATTCTATTCATACGAATCTATCCTAAAAATGTTGTCGGCATTAAATAACCCATTGAGGTTGATATGCCGTAAAACAAAATAAACCAAACCAATCTAAACCAAAGAATACATATTCTATTCATACGAATCTATCCTAAAAATGTTGTCGGCATTAAATAACCCATTGAGGCTGATATGCCGTAAAACAAAATAAACCAAACCAATCTAAACTAAAGAATACATATTCTATTCATAGGAATCTATCCTAAAAATGTTGTCGGCATTAAATAAATCATTGAGGTTGATATGCCATAAAATGAAATAAACCAAACCAAACCCATAAGGAGTTGATATGCTGTTAAAAAAAATAATAAATAAAATCCATATTCCGTGTATCTCAAGACCCTCCACATTTATTGTTGTAACTTGTACTCACCAAGAAACTCGATGTGGAGGAAGTGATGGAATTCAAACATTTGTGGGGCGGTCGGTCAAGGTAAGAAGCAGAAAATTTGTTTGTCTTTCCGTATCTGTCTATATTTCTGAGATGAGCTATTATGTCTATTATCTAAAATATTCGGACTATTGTCCTCATCTTTGTCGCCATATTTATTACAACATTTTGGCCGTTTATGCTCCGCCTTCTTCATTTTAGTTGGAATGTCGAACTGAACCCTTTATTTCGCTCACTATTTTTAGACTGTTCTAGTTCCACGTGCCATGTTTAATGGATATCAGTTATCAGTTATCTCCTATTAATTTCCCTCTGAAAGTTCTCCACTGCCTTAAACGGGTATTGAACTATGATTTTTGCGTTCTGTCACTGGATCTCACCAACGCCTTTATCCACTGTGCCAGCCAAAATCCTTGAGGCATTTGGAACTAGAAACAATTTACCCCAGTGAGCGAAATAAAGGGTTCAGTTCGACATTCCAACCACCTGAAGAAGGCCGGAGCGTACAACGGCCGAAACGTAGTAATAAATATGGTGACAAAGATGAGGACTATAGTCATAATACCTCATCTCAGAAATATAGACAGATACTAAAGGAAATAGTATTGAAATGTTATATAATATTGGTTCTCTTTGGCAGATAATAAATATGGCGATAAAGATGAGGACAATAGTCCGAATAATGTAAATAATGTATTGTTTCTCTTTGTCGACCAGGTGCTCTAGTAGATCCTCTCTGATTGGATGGATGAGACTACAATGCATTTAAATAAAACCTTCTGGAAAGCTATAAAGGAAATCACTTTCACACTTCAGATAGTTCTTTTTTTGTTATGTCTGTTAATACATTATACTGTTATGATACTATTACTATTACGAGGACAGACGTTGCTTGTAAGCAACAAGGCAACTTGTTCCAATCTCAAACTCTTATTACCCAGGGATGCTGTGAAATTCTGCTACAATAGGCAAGAGTTCTATCTTTTTTTCGTACTTTCATGTCGAATTTTGGGTACAACGCTTCTGAGTTGCCTAGCTGTCCAAGTTTTCCCCTCCCCCAATCTGTTGGCAAAACAAATCTAACAATTCTTTTTTTGTCCTTTCTCCTCAGTAACATTTTTCTGTTTCTTTCCTCTTATGTCTTAGTGGCATAATCACCTTTGTTTGAGGTGAAATTAAAAAAAAAAATAAATGAACAAGTATGTACCTTCATTTTTTTGTGGGGAGAGTAATGAACAAGCCATTCACAATCTTGAGAAATACTTAAGAACGATTTACAGGCAGCTGACACAAAAGTAAAACTCCACTGGGCAGAACTGCTGTCTTGAACTCATCGAAAGAACTTTCACTACTGAAGCCCAAGCATTTGAAAGACTTGTCTATAATTTGCCTGTTATCTCAAATAGTTTGTTTTGTCCTGAGATAAAATATTATGATCTGATGAAGCTAAAATCAAACTTTTTTGAAACAGGTTGAGACTTTGGAGAAACACACTTCATATCACCCCCCCAAAATACCATCCCAACAATTAAACATAGTGGTAGATTGGGGGATGGGGCATGGTGGAGTAATGGATAATGGCTTGGATTGAGGAATCAGAGAGCTGTATTTGAATTCCAGTCGAATCCATTACATTCACTTGTGTGTTAATACCCTTGAATAGGCGGAGAGGTTTATCCCTTTTTCCTGTTAAGTATTGGGTTTCTGGTTCTTTCTAAAGTCTACTTCAAATCTATACTCTTTTGAACAGGAGTAGAGGTTTATCCCTTGATTCCTGTTTAGGATTGGGTTTCTGATTCTTTCTAAAATCAACTTCAAATCTATACTCTTTTGACAAGGAGTAGAGGTCTATCACTTGTTTCCCGTTTAGGATTGGGTTTCCGGTTCCTTCTAAATTCTACTGAATATCTCTACTTCCAACGTCTCCGCCTAAACTCTGAAATTTTGACTTTTCATTAGGTTTCCGGTTCCTTCTAAAGATTTTTTAATTTCTCGTTCACTCACTGTAGCCCCTTTCGTCTTAGTGGCTTTATCCCCTTGTTTGGGGCGGAATTGATTTAGTATAAGTGTCCGTTTTGCTTCCATTTTTCTAATCACCATCGGATTCTCTGCATAATTCTCACATTTCTGACGCCTTACAATCTTCTTTTCAGGAAATTGTCTAGTATGCACTGCATGTAGGGGTATTGATATTACGTTGATATTACAAGGCGGGTCAGTGCTCATTACACCGTTTCTTACGCGATCTTAATGTTTCTAAAAACTTCGCTTAACTTTTGGAAAGGTTCATTTGCATGACGCTTTCCCATTTTCCTCCCTGGGTGAAAAGGAGTTGAGAGATATTGAGACTTCTTAGCATGCATCTTGGACCGTTTTTTCCTGTTCACAACCATATATTATAGATCTGCCTAAATCATCTTGGTCATAATATTTATCCTCTCGATAGATAGATAGATAGATAGATAGGTAGATAACTGGGTATGAACAGACTATGATAGATAGATAGATAGATATGACCAGACTCAGATAGATAGATAGATAGATAGATATGACCAAACCGAGATAGATAGAAATGAACATAGATAGATAGATAGATAGATAGATAGATACCCATCTATCTGTGTATGTAGGTATATAATGTGGTAATCTATCTGTTCGGATTTTTCTCGGGCTTTTCACATACATTCATCTGAATCTATCTAGTCTGTTCATAAATCTATTATCTATTATCTATCATTAAGAATCTATCTATCTATCTATCTATCTATCTATCCTAGTCTGTTCATATCTATCTATCCTAGTCTGTTCATATTCTATCTATCTATCTATCTATCTATCTATCTATCTATCTATCTATCTATCTATCTATCCTAGTCTAAATATCATATCTATCTATCCTAGTCTGTTCATATATCTATCTATCTATCTATCTATCTATCTATCTATCTATCTATCTATCTATCTATCTATCTATCCTAGACTTTTCACATCTATCTATTTCAGTCTTTTCATATCTATCTATCTATCTATCTATCTATCTATCTATCTATCTATCTATCTATCTATCTATCACAGTCTGTTCATATTCATCTATCTATCTATCTATCTATCTATCTATCTATCTATCTATCTATCTATCAAATCTCAGCTGTTCGTATCTATCTCAGTTTTTTTATGTCTGTCTATCTATCTCATTTGTTTGTATCTCTCTCTATCTAATTCAGTTTTCATATCTATCTATCTATCTATCTATCTATCTATCTATCTATCTATCTATCTATCTTTTAGTGTTTTCATTCTCACAATCAAAGCATATTGTATTGGATTCAAATGCCTTTTTGGAATCTTCACTCCTTCATTTTTGCTTGAGGCCAACTTCACTCTTTTTCCTGTTCAGATTTTACCTTTTAGTCAACGATCGTATTTTTTTTTACCCATTTTTGGTGCAGGGGCTCCTCCATCCCCAACCACTTTTGGCTGCTTTTCTCAGCGAGGCAATAGATTCAAACTTTTAAAATGTTTCACTCGTAATGCATTACTGTCCGTCGAAATACCTGCATCATTTCGAGAAAGTTCGCACTGGAACCCTGCATAGGATGACCCCAGCTTTTTATTTTCACCATATCAAAATCATTACAAAGGAAAATCAATTTTTAGTTATGGCATCTTAATGGTACTTAATGGTATTTTAATGGCATTCTAATCTCTTCATCCCAGAAATAGAGAACTGCCATTTGATCTATGTAGCGAAACACATACCTAACACACACACACACACACACACGCCCGCACACAAACACACACACGCACACACATATATACATAAATATATTCATACCTATAAATTTATCTATCTTAGTCTGTTCATATCTATCTTTCTATCTCTTTCTCTTCATATCTATTTATCTATCTATCTATCTATCTATCTATCTATCTATCTATCTATCTATCTATCTATCTTAGCTGTTCATATCTATCTATCTAAGCTGTTCATATTTATCTATCTATCTATCTATCTATCTATCTATCTTAGCTGTTCATATCTATCTATCTATCTATCTATCTATCTATCTATCTATCTATCTATCTATCTCGTTCAGCTATCTATTTATCTATCTTTCTTAGTCTGTTCACATCTATCTATCTATCTATCTATCTATCTATCTATCTATCTATCTATCTATCTATCTATCTATCTATACTAGTGGATGAAACCGCTGTGAATTAAATCCCTGGGCTGTGTAATGTTTACTTTGACTCAGCGGAAACCGGGCGAGAACTAGATGATATATGAGTAGACATGGGAATTGGAACGAGAACAGTCTACCTCCGTGGATTAAATAAAGGGCCCGGTTATGAATTCTCTATAGGTTACCCACATCGGTATACATCTAATGAAGGCCGCAGGGCTCAGCAGCCGAAACGTTGTGATAGAAAAACAAAGATGAGGACAATAGTACGCATATTAAATAAGGGAAATAAGCATGGCTCCTCATCCCAGAAATTCAGACAGAAAAAAGCGTATGTGTTGATTTAAACTGCGCCTAGAGATTATATGCAAAAGAGGTATTGTGAAATATTGTATGTAAAATTCATAGATAAGTGTTACCCAATGAAATATTTTGTACTATTATGTATAACGAGTAAGCATGAAAGCTATTAAGTCCCAATTTTCAATTTCAGATTGATATTTAGTATTTGCGGTGTCAAGAGATTATTTTCAAGAATTAGAATTTAGTATTATGGCTCGTAAAAAAGAACTAACAATGAATGAAAAGAACTATATAATCAAAGAAATTAGCAAAGGAAATTCTTCGCTTCAAATTTCTAAGGATTTGAAAAGGGATCATCGAACAATCAAGAAAATATGTCAAATGGGAATTCAACCAAGGAAAAAAAAGTCTCAGGCTGAATTCAGGAATTTAACAAAGCGAGATCTATCACATATCCGAAGAGAATTAATAAGAAACCCAAATGCGACAAGTGCGTTCATATTTGAGGCCGCTGGAGCTCCTATGGTGTCAAGGGAAATCAAGGTGTAAAGCATTAAAGAAGTTTGCTGATGTAAAAAATCAAATAAAAAAAAACATTTTAACAAAAAAACATAAGGAAAGAAGATTGCAGTGGGCAAAAAAATACATGAAAACTGATTTCAGTAAAGTGCTTTTTACAGACGAATCAAGGATCACCTCGATGGGCCTGATGATTGGGCTCGAGGATGGGTTTGCAAGCATAACATGACTCAAGAAAATTTTTAAACGCCAACAAGGCGGCGGTGTGGATCATGATATGGGCTGGGATTATTGGTAATGAGCTTGTGGGTCCATTTAAACTGAAAGACGAGGTTAAAATGAATTCCAAAAGTTACTGTGATTTTCTAGAGCAATATTTCTTTCAATGGCTTGATAACCAGTCTTTAGCCAAGCGTAGATCTATGATCTTTATGCAAGACAACGCACCAAGTCATGCATCAAAGTTTACTAAATCCTGTTTGAAAGAAAAGGGATTGTTGAAGATTCTCTTATGGACTGGCCTTCAAATAGCTGTGACTTGAATCCCATTGAGAACCTGTGGGGCATCCTCAAGAGAGATATTTATTCGAATGGATGGCAATTCAACAGAAAGTGTGACCTTTGGGAGACAGTTAAAGTTGCTGCAAACAACTTACCAGCCGCTAAAATTGCAAATCTAACATCAGATGTTGACAATAGGCTGCTAAGAGTTATTGAAAAGAAAGGAGCATTTGTGTAATAAATTTTAGGAAAATATATATAAAATGTTTTTTTTATGTTTTTCCTCTAAGAAATTGACGAATTTATTCTAAAGTCTTTTCATATTTTTTTTACATTAGTTTTACAAGGTATAATAATGTAAAAGTATCAAAATAAATAGTTGCAAATAAACTACTGACAGTCAAATTAGTCTGTTTTGATAACTTAGTAAATTTTTTTCCAACCAAAAACAATAGTTTTCTCTATCACTATATATACAAGTTAATAACATTGAGTAGAATCTAAACATCATAATAGGACTTTTAACATTAAAGTGGTAACTCTTTATACCAATTCATAACTTGCATATAATCTCTAGACGCAGTTTATTGTAGAAAAGGATACGACCTTTGTCGGGTTTATCGAGTCAATATGCGAACGATCTTAGCGGTGTAGTATGTGCTTCGACAGGGTTACATACAGTTTTGAATTCAGAATTTTCTTTTTCTACATCTAGCTCAGTCTGTAATAATTAATGCTCTATTATCAATTAAATCTATATAAATTCCTATATTGATTGAAAATATATAAAAATATAATATTAACTAAAGTTATACAAAAACATTATTTAGAGCAACATAAAAATTAATTATAGCCCTCTATAGAGCTCTCAAGTGAGTCCTTAGACCAGCCATTGACAAACACACTCTACCTCAATCTGTATACATCAGATCGAGCTGCCAGTTGGCACCCTCAGAAAGTTCAAGGGGACGTCTTTATGTATATATGTATGATAAGATAAATAACAAATAAGAAAATATTTATGAATCTAAAATATTTCACTTTTATTAAAGCTTCCCCAGAGAATGTTAGTCTTGTGTTGTTTGAGTTTCATTGGTCAGTCATGTTTCACGTATATTCGACTTTTTAAACAAACGTTAGGATAATTTGTGGAGTTCCGAATACAAGGAGAGACAACGTGTGTTATCTATTTTCAGGTAGGCTTGGAATCTTTAATTTCTTCAGACTTTGAATAGACGCGTCGTCTCTATGGCAGATCGGATTTTCGGCTAAATTTCAAATCCAGCAGACACTGATGGCTTCTTGTCGTTTGAAAAAAGGAAGAAGAGTTTATGAAGATGAGATGACCCCGAAACGTCTTCTACAAAAACATTTTTTCCTCCTCCATTTCTGACGCCGACGGCTTACGGCCGCATCACGTTGAAACACCGATTCACGTACGATCACCGAAGTTAAGCAACATCGAGTCTGGTCAGTATCGATCTATCACAGTATGTTCATACCAAGTTACGTACCTACCAACCTGCCTGCCTACCTCCATACCTACCTACCTGTCTGTCTGTCTATCTATCTACCTATCACAGTCTGTTCATACTTACCTACCTACCTACCTACCAATCTATCTATCTATCTATCTATCTATCTATCTATCTATCTATCTATCACAGTCTGTTCATACCAAGTTACATATCTATCTATCTATCTATCTATCTATCTATCTATCTATCTATCTATCTTCGTTCCAATCATCTGTTCATACCTACCTACCTACCTACCTACCAGTCTATCTATCTATCTATCTATCTATCTATCTATCTATCACAGTCTGTTCATACCAAGTTATCTATCTATCTATCTATCTATCTATCTATCTATCTATCTATCACAGTCTTTTCATACCAAGTTACCTACCTACCAATCTATCTATCTATCTATCTATCTATCTATCTATCTATCACAGTCTTTTCATACCAAGTTACCTACCTACCTACCTACCTACCTACCTATCTATCTATCTATCTATCTATCTATCTATCTATCTATCTTCGTTCCAATCATCTATTAGACAAGAACCGTCTATTCATAAGACATCCTTCCCTGGCCAGAATGCTGATTGTGACTCAGTGATTTTCTTCGTGACGCCCCTTGAACTGACATCTTCATCCTCCCAACTGTGGATTGCGCTAATAAGGTTTCTTCCTGAGTCAAAGTCGGCATGGACGCTTTCAACCCTTCCCGGAAATGTCAGGTGAAACCTCCATTCTCTCCATGGTTCACACCAGCATGCTCGGACAACTCTTTCATGTGCTTTCGTCTTTAGTTACTAAATTCTGTTAGCTGTCGCAATTTCAATTTGTCGCTTCCACGTCTTCCCAACTGACAGGCACTTTCCCTAAATCCATGTGCGAACATCTTTGTCTTCGGTGACTTTAATATCCACCACAACACGTGTTTGTAACATTCCAAATGTACTGAAGTTGTCGGTATTCAGACATTAAGTTCTTCCATTGCCCAATCCCTCACTCAAATAGTGGACATCCCTACTCGTTTCCTTGGCTAAACCGAGCAACAGGCCTCTCTATTGGATCTATTTCTTACCATCTCTCCTCGCTCTTGCCAAGCTTCCAAATAGCGCCCTCTTTGTAACTCGGACCATTCTGTGGTAGCTATTGATATCTCCTTCCAAATATCCATTAAGCAGGAACCCCGCATCCATAAGACCTCTTTCCGTTACCAGCACGCTGATCGGGACTCATTTTTGGATTTTCTTCGTGACGCCCATTGGACTGATATCTTCAACCTCCCAATTGAAAATTGCGTCACTGATGTTCCTTCCTGGGTCAAAGCTGACATGGACGCTTTCATCCCTTCCCGGAAATACCAGGTGAAACTGCAATCCTCTCCATTGTTCACACCACCATGCTCAGTCACCATAGCACATAAGAACCACTATTTCCAGCTATACCAGCAGGACAGCTCTCATCATAACAGGTAACTATTTGCCACTGCTCCTAAGAAATATAAGCAAGTCCTCAAAAAAGCTAAGTCCCTGTCTGCTGAGAGAATGAAGCACCACATAGCCTCTAAAAACTTTGGCTCTCGTGACCACTGGCATCACTGTAATAGGGTACTAAATAAGTGTAAGGTCTCTATTCCTCCATTCTTCAATTGATTTGAGGTGTTATCATCCTTTGCTTATAAAGCCGTATGCTTTGCCTATAAATTCTCTTCAAACTCTACTCTTGAGTCAGCTGGAGTATCCCTGCCCAACTTCCCACTTAGAATTGATTCTCTCTTGAGTGATATGCATATAAAACCTTCCATCGTTTCTGCTGTCATCTCTAGCCTTGATCCCAACAAAGCGTGTGGACCCGATGCCATCTTAATAATAGTCATTAAGAAATGTGCCCCCGAACTAGCTCATGTTTACTCTAAACTGTATAATAAATGCCTCGCTGCCTCTTGCTTTCCTGCTTGCTGGAAGTCATCATCTGTTGTTACAGTTTTTAAGAACTCTGGTGAACCGTGCGAACCATCTTACTATTAGTATTCTGCTCCTTTTTGTAAAACTTCTAGAGGCCCTAACCAATTCTGAATTGGTTCATCATCTCTCATCGTATGACTTTTCCTCAGACAAGCAATATGGTTTTTGATTCTCCGGGGCAACTTCTGATGTACTAACGATAATTATGGAAAGAGTCTATCGCCCGCTAGATAAAAATGGGGAAACTCGGGCGGTACCTTTGGACATCTCGAAAGCCTTTCACAAAGTCTGGTATTCAGATCTTCTTCACGAGCTGAAAAGTTACGGTGTCTCCGGGCACATTTTGGAGCCGATCCAGTCGTTCCTATCAAACCGTGAAATGAAAGTTCTCTTTAACGGCCACTCGTCTACATCCTAACGCTGGTGTCCCCCAGGTCTCCATTCTTTGTCCTTTGCTGTTTTTAATCTTCATTAACGATCTTCCCGATGGCATCAGCTCTCAACTTGGCACCTACGCTGACGACACTACCATTTACTCCCGCCTCCATAGTAAGGCTGATCAGTTAGACAAGGTCAAAATGGCAGCTAATGTACAAAAAGATCCTAGGACCGTCGTTATCTGGGGCAAAAGATAGCTTGTCAATTTTAACGCCTCCAAAAATAAACTTGTCTCCATTAATCATCTGAGAGACCCATCTTTGCTTTCCATCGGCATGGCTGATGCTATCCTACAAGAAAGCGACTCCTTGCGCCTTCTCGGGCCAACGTTCTCAGCTGATATGAAATAGAAAGACTACATTAATCAGCTGCTAAGAAAGTCAGTTCACTGTGACGGATGAGATATTTTTTTCTCTCCGGAATTTATCTTATATATCTATAAGTCTACCATTTGTCCGTGATTAGAATATTGCTGCCATATACGGACCGGTGTCCCTGCTATTTACCTGAAACTCCTTGATAAGATCCCAAAAAATGAATCAGCAATATTATGGGTCCTGATCTGGCAGTTCGGTTTCAGTCAGTTGCCCACTACTGTAAGGTTGATTCTCTGTGACTTTTTCTTTTTTTTTTCTTTTTTTATAAATACTTGCTGTGGTACGTCGACGATGAAGATGAAGAAAGAATGAACTCTTCCCACCTCCCATCAGTATGGTAGAAACTAACCACCATAAAAGTGACTCATTGGGCCTTCTCGGATTTACATTCTCAGCTGACATGAAAGGGAGGGGGAGATTATATTGAATCCATTACTAGATCTGCCGCTAAGAAAATAGTTCACTAGGCCAGGCTAGACTCTCGCCTAAATCTATCTTACATATTTATATGCCTACCGTTCATCCATACCTTGAAGATTACTGCCACATATGGTCCGGTGCTCCTGATGTATATCTAGAGATTCTTGATTCGATCCAAAAAAGAATCAGCAATATTATTGGTCCTCACCTAGTATCACGGCTTCAGTCGTTTTCCCACCGCCGTAATGTAACTTCCCTGTGTCTCTTTTCTATAAACACTTTCATGGGAATTGTTCGAGTGAGCTCTTTTCTATGGCATCTAGACATTATGAATTTGAGCGCAGTACTAGATTGGAGATACGGTCTCATCAAGTCACAGATGAATTGTCTAGATGTAAGCGTAAGTTCTGTGCTCACAATTCCTTTTCTCGCACTTCTCGCTTGTGGAACTGTCTAATGGCTCCATACATTCCATCCAACTTTTAATCTGCAACAATTTAAATGTAATGCCAGTCGCTATCTACTGTCCATCTGAATGTTCTTTTCTCTTTCTACTCATTACTAATTACTTTCTGTTCCCAATTCCTCCACACCCTGTAACCCTTTGCGTGTTAGTGGCTGTGCTTGAACAAAATTACAAAGAACGAACATTATCTATGAGTTCAAATGCCCCTTAAGGAACTGTGTTCCTGATCAAACCGAACTCATAAATAATTACATCGGTTACACAACGACATGCTTATCCAGACGCCTTACGTTACACCTATCTGATCACAGCTCCATTAGAACCCATTTAAATAAACACACAGATTTACCCGATTCCATTAGGAACATACTAGTACTAGTAGAAAACACAAATATATTAACTGCATCCACCTGTAAAAAAAAGATTAAAAATAATGGAAACTTTAATAATAAAAAAGAATTCTTAACAATATTAACTACGAACAAGGCCACAATGTGCTAACCGTATTCGGAAATTAAAAACATCTCTACCACACACTAAGACATACACATAATGCACACACTCAATTCAACTGAAAAATGAACCATCCTTGATAATGGCTAAAGGTATAGCCGAAAGCGCTCGGAAATATAAAACATTTGGACAGTTCTTACACACCCTTTGTCCAGAAAAGAAAGCTCTTGTTTGAATACAAGAAAAATTAAATAAAAAGCTTAATCGTAGTATCTTGTCTGTCGTTTTTAATGAAACATGCATATATATATATATATATATATATATATATATATATATATATATATACACACACACAGAGGGAGAGAGAGAGAGAGAGAGAGAGAGATGACGCATGATGGTTTTTAAGTCACTGTGTTTCCATGTGTTGTTTCCTTTTATTTTATTCTCGTGTTTTCTCGCATGGAACGTGATCTCGCATCAAGTCTCACAGTTAAAGGGCTTTATCTACCGGGATTTGAATCCTAAAGGTCCATTAAATGATTTACATAACATAGAAGATGCGTCATGTTGAATCAGGTCCGTTCCCCATTCCATCCAGTAAATGAAGGAAAAAAAAATCCGTCTCTCTCTTTTTTCTATTTTACTCTCTTCTTCCTCCCCAACCTTTCTTTCTTTCTTTCCTTTTCTTTCACGCTTTTCTTCCTCTACCTCCAACTCCTTCTTTCTCTTCTATCTTTCCATAACTTCCTCTTTTCTCTCTTTTTCTTTCTTTCTCTTTTCCTCTTCCATGCGCCACCCTACTCTCCCTGTCTCTTATTTTCTTTCTTTTCTATTCTGTCACTCTGTCCTCTCTCTCTCTCTCTCTCTTTTCCCTGCTTCACTCTTTTCTTCTCACTCTCTTTCGCGATTTCCTACATTCTTAAAATTTTCTATTCTCTCCAAATTTTCATTCTCCTCTTCCTTCCCTACTTGTCTTTCCTTTCTTCTCTCTCATCCATTTCTTCTTTAACTGACTGCCCTCTCTTTCTTTTCTTTCTCTTTCTTTCCCTCTGGATTTTTTCTTCCTCTATCACTCTCATTCGTCTTCCTTCCTTTCTTTCTTTCTTTCTTTCTTTCTTTCTTTTCTTTGAGGAAGACTCCGTTCTTTCATTAATAGATATCATCTGTCTTTCTCGTGTTTTACGTGAGAGAAATTCTCTCACTCTCTCTCTCTCTCTCTCTCATTTTTTTTTTTTTCTGAAATGAATTTATTTTTTTTTTTAACCTCTCTTGTCTCTCTATTTCCTTCTTTCTCTACATGTCTCAAACAACTGTTTACTTTGTTCTTTCTTTCTTTCTTTTTCCCACTCTCTCACTTTCTCTCTCTCTACTTGTCTCTCTCACTGTTTATTCTGTTCTGTTCTTTCTTTCCGAAAAATTCTGATGAAGTTTTTCAAACGTCTGTTCTTTCTTTCTTTCTTTCTTTCTTTCTTTCTTTCTTTAATCCCTTTTCTATTTTACCCCTTCCTGGCTTTCGTTCATTTTTCTTCTTTCCTTATGTCTTCTGTTCTTTCTTTCTTTCTTTCTTTCTTTCTTTCTTTCTTTCTTTCTCTCTATTCGCCATACTCCCTCTTCCTCTCTGTTTTCCCTTCTTTCTTTTCCCCATTCTCTCGCATAATCAATGAATCTTATCATTTTTTTCATTAGATAAATACGCGCCATTTCAACAAATTGGCGTCGAAATCAACAAACGAAGCCAATCAGTTGTATTGTGACTAACTTTAAATAAATTCGGCAACGTTCGGCTAGTGTTACGGTTATCGCTGAAGAAATTTGAAATCGACGAACCGCGTTCGTATTCCGGCCGAGTCAATTCTGTTTACTAATGCCTTTGGGGAAAGCACGAATTCATTTCTTCTCCTCATAACTGAAAGTTAAATCACTGAGAAGATCGGATTCTTTAATATTGATTGACAGAGAATAAGAGAGAAATAATTTTAAGTTGAGAAAGAAACGCAAAATAGGCGAAGATATATCTTTTGGAATCAGATATAAAATCGACCAGTAGTTACATTTTTTATGAACCTGACTAATATTTACCTTCTGATTCAGGTATAAACACGATCGATATTAACTCTTTGACTGATGTATAAACCAGGCCAAGCCTAACACAAGCCTGGCACAAGCCTTTCGATTCAAATAGAAATCGGATCACTTCTTACGTTTTGTTTCAAGTATGACTTACGCCAATCGTTAATATTTGGATCAGGTAAAAACAGGATCAATATTAAACTTTTGACTTAAATATAAACCGGGTCAATGCTGACCTTTCCACGCACTAGCCACAAAGCTGACCAATGCATGTCCTTTGTCTTAAGCATAAACAAGACTAATGCTTACCTTCTGAATCAAGTTTGCGGCATTAAATAAAAGGTTCTGGTGACTGAACGCTCGATACCTGACTTTACCTATTCAACCCTCATTGTCGATACAGCCTCATCAGATATATATATATATATATATATATATATATATATATATATATATATATATATATATGTTGTTCAATATAACAGACAATGAATGTCTATTATGTTTGATCATGAGTCGTTCTAAATTTCGTATGATTGCTTTAATTTCGAGTGAAAGTAAGGACAAAAATTGTATAACATTTGATTATTTTTTATTAATCTGTTTCTTGATCTAAGCTTTCGACCCACATGAGCCATCTTCAGAGTGGTTATACGTTCATTTAAACAAAGATATTCGCCATCAAAGATGATATTCTGTTATGTTGACATAGAAGATTGCGATGCGACGATAACGGTTGTGGAATAGCAGACGCAGGTCGTAAATTCAAGATGCGGTTCTATGACGTCATACCACGCGTGAGACCGAAATATTAACAACAGAGCTATAAGTCAAGATGCAATGTAATGCATTGTGACTAATTTGATATGTAATTTTGTTGAGTGTGAGTTGCTTTGTTTTAATGTAGATGGCCTCCAATATCTTAAGGTTCTTTTTACTGTGTATATGTGGGAGTATGGTTGCGTTATTAACTAATATCTGTCTAATATTATGTATATGGTTATGTTTTTTTCGAAGAAATGTCATTTAATAGAACTAAGATCAGAAAGGTGACAAGTAAGTCTACGGGAGAGCGTGGTTGTAGTAGAACCAATGTATGTAGTGGGTTCATTATTAGTATCAGAGATACAATCTCTGGACGGGCATGTAAATTGATACACTATATTATAATATGTATATATTAAGACACGTTTCACTGAATAATTTAGAAAATTTTTGTCGACTTATTTTCGATAGGATCCTCTCATATTCACGGACAAGCTTCTTAGTATCCTTATGAAAGACGAGAAAAAAAAATTACCATGTGATACATATACACTTATTCTGAGTACTTTCGACATTAGCGTAATGTCATCATCAGTTTTTTTTTCTTAGACAAAAACTGTTTTGTTCATCATTTTTCTAAGACAAAATTGTTGTATTCATCTGAAAGTTAAATTTTATACCTGTGAAGTGAAAAACTCTAAGGTTATGTAATGTACGATTTGAATTTCACGATGTAAATGTCAGGGGACGTAACTAAGTAATGAAAGGTCAAAATGTTTTGTTTTTAAATGAAAACATATACTTAGAACTATTAGCTAAAACCTAGATATTTTAAATTATCTACTTTAAACATTTTGAAACATTTGTGCAGTATTCATGATTAATTTTATTAAGGATTGGTTTCAATTTTTAATATAGATACAGTGGGGTTGAATAAGTTATCGTACATGAAAACCTCGAATAACAATGTTATATATGTATTTGGGGGCATAGAATCAGAATCTGCAATTTAAAATTAGAAATCCCTCGATAAGTGATAGTTATGCAAATTTTTATATTTCGAATAGTGGAAAAAGTGTTCCTACAGTATCAATTTTTGCATTATAATACGGTAGATTTTGGTTGTATTTCAAAGTAGAAGATTCTAAACTGTTCTTGAATATTCTCAGTAACTCTATTGCAACATTCAGTTCAAAATTGGATCATTCTGCAGTCACTGTTCACTGATAATGGTTCTAATAATGGCTAGACGTAAGGAAATGATTGTACTCAAAAAGAGCTAATTATCAAGCTATGGAACAATGGAAAAAGTTACAGAAACATCTCCAGTGACACGAACATAACTTTTTCAACAATTGGTTCATTTATTGCAAGATTTAAAAGACGTAATAATGTTGAGAACAAAGGCAGACCAGGTGATCCCAGGAAGATCTCTCACAGATTACGTAGAAAGTTGATGCGACAGGTCCAAAATAACACAATGGCCATCAGACAAGACCTTCAGAATGATCTGAGTTTGTCAGGAGTTAACGTAACTAAGCAAACAATTAGTAATGAACTACGCAGAGACGGCGTAAAGTCGCGCTCCTCAAGAAAGACACCACTCCTTCTGAAACGGCATAGAGATACCAGGTTGAAATTTGCGACAGAGCATAAAGATAATGAAATTTTTTATTGGGAAAGAATTATTTGGACAGATGAGAGTAAAATTGAGTTGTTCGGTCGCAATTCCCTGAATCATGTATGGTGGAAATACGGCGAAGTATACGCACCCAAGAACACCATACCAACTGTCAAATTTGGTAGGGGTAATATCATGGTTTGGGGCTGCTTTTCGATGTGAGGTGTTGGCAAACTAGCAATTATAGACGATAGAATGAATGCAGAGAAATATCAACAAATCCTAAGCGAAAATTTATTGATTTCTGTAGAGAATCTTGGGCTTCCTACTGATTTGATCTTCCAGAAGGACAATGATCCGAAGCATACTGCTAAGAGTACGAAGAATTGGCTTGCTAATAACAACGTTAACATCTTACAGTGGCCCAGTCAATCGCCTAATTTGAATCCAAAATAGAATTTATGGCAGTTTTTGAAAAATAAGATCCGTGAGAGAGGTCCAAGAAAACATTCTGAGAGCGCCATCGGCTGGTAAACATCGAAAACTTATTCAAGCATATTGGTCACCATTTTTAACCATTTCAGGTTAGCCATTGTTATCACTGGAATCCTCACTGTAAAAGCGTGAGCCAAGCTTATAATTCTTAGTTTTCTCATTCCCTCGATCTTATCTCCAATGTTACAATCGCCGGTATGTAACTTTTAATTTATTTCTCTTTAATTTAGTCTAGTTAATTATCATATTACTACATGAACATTTGTTTAATGTAGCTATCTTTTATACTTTCATTTTACGTTTCTAGTTCTTTATCTGGAATAATTTTCGCTCCGTGTTCACTATTTACATATTGTCCCCTAAATGTAATTTCCATGTAAGTTTCTGCCTTTCCGTGAACTCGATGCAACACTGAAAAGTATTCCTGTAGCAAACTTTACCCATAATCATGTAAACAAAACAATCGCTACCTTTCTTTACTTATTTAGACAAATGCTGCTCACTTCTATATTTATCTTCTGGCTGCTTTTGTCATATTCCTTGTTACACATTTTTCTGTTTGTTATTCACATTAAACTAGTGCTGTATGTATATTTATTTCGTTTTATTTTATCCTTTTGTCTTTTAACAAAACTGCCGAATAGAAGACCTTTGCCTTCAGAGTCTTAATTACCTTAAGGCGTTTATTTGGTTGTCTGTAGATACGCATGCATGAGAGACGGACTCTTATTCTGGAAGGGGAATAAACGTTTTAAGGTTTTCTGCTGGTTGAATCCTTCTTCTGGCAGACCAATAATTCTGCTCCTTTTCTTTGTTTTTTTTTTCTTATTATCATCAAAACCCAAGGAAGGCAATAAATCCACTAATATGCAAGGGGTATTGTAAATGTTGTGATATGTTAGATGCATCATTCAAATGAAAACTCTACCGTTGAGACAACGTAGCAATGTAAACGTCCAGAAGAGTTGGCAAAAGACAGACGTTAATAAGAGCTACAAAGACAGGAAATTGCTGGGTGGAATTATAACCCCGATCTTGTCTCTCGCATATTGCAGTCAGCAAGTTCGCTGCCAGTCTCGCAGCAGACAAGACCTCTGTTTTCGACTAGAGGGTGAGAAGACCTCTGTTTTCTGAACTATAGAAATGCAGTATTGAGAAGAGAAAAAAATATGGACGAGTCTACTTACCGTCTTGTTCCAAGAGTTTTCTCATCGGGTGCGACCTTAACTTCTAAAAAGAAACAAAAAAAAAAAAAATATTGTAGGACTTTGGCGTCTCGTGAGGTGGAAATTTGAAAGTGGAGCTGAAATTTTATGCCAAACAGGTGGATAGGACGATGAGGTTGAGCACAACAGCCTCTGAATTAACCAAACTTCACATCACTAGAACCGTTTTATTCGGATACTTAGAAGATGAAGTTTGCGATAACCCCCCCAAAAAAAAAAAAAAAGTAAAATATGAGCTGTGGTCAACTATTAACGAAGGGAGATGTTTCTTGGGGTTTGCGATACAATTGCTTCTCTCTACCAATAGTGTTTGTATTCAAACTGATGACCGTTACTGTCCATTTGAAAACAGGCGTTTACAGAAAAAAAATTCTATTCTATCTTCGTATTGGAGTCAGTCTTCATACTAACCATACAAGCATTACGGCAATAGCCTAAGGCATTATGTATAGAGAATACTTTAAAGAATTACGTTATACCAAGGACG